CATAACATTTGATTTTCCAATTATTCCATCTTACTTTTTGTCTAGTTTAATCCTCATTAAAACCTAGAGTCACAGTGATTTCCTAAAAAGAACAGGAGTACTTGTGGCACCTTAGAGACTAACAAATTTATTTGAGCATAAACTTTCGTGGGCTACAGCCCACTTCTTCGGTAGCCCACGAAAGCTCATGCTGAAATAAATTTGTTAGTCTCTAAGGTGCCACAAGTACTCCTGTTCTTTTTGCAGATACAGACTAACACGGCTGCCACTCTGAAACCAGTGATTTCCTACTGGCTGAGTGTTGGGTCACTGCAGAGCTTTGCATTCTCTCTGCCATAGGCTTTAGCATGTTATGGAAACAGTGCTCCAAACTCTGCAATCCTCGATGATGGGACACAGGGCTTGAATGATTCAGGCAGTGCAGCTCTGTGGTGGACATTCTACTTGGAAGGGCATTGTGAGGACCACTGCTGCCTTTCCACATGAGTGAATTCCTCTTCCAGCCCAGCTGCTTTGCAGGCACCAGGATGGGAGAATGAAAATTGTACCTCTCTGCTAGGGTTGCCAGGTGCCCGGTTTTCGACTGGAACGCCAATCAAAAAGGGACCCTGGCAGCTCCGGTCAGCACCACTGACTGGGCCATTAAAAGTCTGGTCGGCAGCACAGCTGGGCAAAGGCAGGCTCCCCCATCTGGCTCCTACGTGTAGGTGCAGCCAGGTGGCTCCACGCGCTGCCACCGCCCCAAGCGCCAGTTCCGCAGGTCCCATTTGTCATGGTTCTGAGCCAATGAGAGCTGCAGGGGTGGCACTTGCAGATGGGGCAGCGCGCAGAGCCCCTGGCCATACCTCTGCGTAGGAGCCAGAGGGGGGACATGCCGCTGCTTCTGGGAGCTGCCTGAGGGAAGCACCACCCAGAACCTGCACCACTGACCCCTTCCCACGCTCCAACCCCCTGCCCCAGCCCTGATCCCCCTCCTACCTTCCAAACCCCTCCATCCCAGCCCGGAGCACCCTCCTGCACTCCAAACCCCTCATCCCAAGCCCCACCCCAGAATCCGCACCCCCAGCCGGAGCCCAACCCCCCGCCCCAGCCCGGAACCCCTTCCCTCACCCCGAACCCCTCATTTCTGGCCCCACCCCAGAATCCACACCCCCAGCCCAGAGCCCATATCCCCTCCCACTCCCCAACCCCCTGCCCGAGCCCTGATCCCCCTCCTGCACTCCAAACCCCTCATCCCAAGCCCCACCCCAGAGTCTGCACCCCCAGCCAGAGCCCTCACCCCCCCTGCACCCCAACCCCCTGCCCCAGCCTGGAGCCCCTTCCCTCACCCCTCATTTCTGGCCCCACCCCAGAATCCACACCCCCAACCCAGAGCCCATATCCCCTCACACACCCCAACTCCCTGCCTCAGCCCTGAGCCCCTCCCATACTCCAAACCCCTTGGTTCCATACCCCAGCTCAGAGCCCCCTCCTGCAGCACAAACCCCTCATCCCTGGCCACACCCCAGAGCCCACACCCCCAGCCGGAGCCCTCACCGCATCCCAACTCACTACCTCAGCCCAGAGCCCCCTCCCACACCCTGACTTTATTTCTGGCCCCACCCCAGAGCCTGCAGCCCTATCCTGGAGCCCGCACACATAAACCCACCCCGCACCCCAGCCCCCTGATCCAGCCCTGTGAAAATGAGCGAATGAGTGAGGGTGGGGAGAGTAAGCGACAGAGGGGAGGGGATGAAGGGGATGGGCCTTGGTGGAGGGGCGGGGCATGGGTCAGGGCAAGGTGTTTGGTTTTGTGTGAGTAGAAAGTTGGCAACCCTCCTCTCTGCACTTGTGAAGGCCAAGGTGAGCCTGGAAACTGAACCATAATCTTTCATCAGAGTGTGGCTCACTAACCTCAGGGCCAGCCTACTTAACCCATTTTTATTGGTAATATTAGAGTGCAAAATATGCAGTACAAGGCTAATAAGGAGGCTTAGTACAATGCTTAAAAAAATTAAAATATTCCTTATCGAGTCTGAAAATAGTATCTGTCACTCAGTTGTTGCATGACTGAGTTCACTCACATGGAGAAATCATAAATCATTTATCCCATTTGGCTTTTTGAAATCTATATCGGGGTAGAATTTAAATGATAACCTAATGGCAGCTTGCCAATGACCTGGCATCCTGAAAATTGTTTTTTATGCGAAATCCTGTAGTTTGTACTTTTGATTCAATCTTGCATTTCCTTCATGTCAGCAATGATTACTTCATTTCAATTAATCTTTAAATGGCTCCAGCTCTGTTCTTAGGTTCAAGGACCATTTCCTGTTATATGCTAGAGGAGGAGGGATTATGCAGCAATCATTGTGCACAATCAAGTGTGCACAGAATCATTTATGAGGCAGGCACAATGCCTCCAGGAAAGTTCACAGCAGTGATTTCTGCTTTCCATTTACTTGGATGCAGTGTGCATTCCTCCTTACTCCAATCTAGTTCTGCTGGCTGATGTGCCACCTATGGCAACTTCCTGCAATATTCTAGATAAACTTGATTGAATTACACTAAACTTTATTGAATTAAGTTTGAGTTTTAGGAGTTTATTTATTAAAAATGCAAAGCTTATGTATTATTTTGGGATTGTGTGTAACTTCTCTAGGAGCAAGACTGTCAATGTAAACATTGGGAAGCGTTATGAGCTTCAAAGGATTATTTTAAACAATGTGCCAGACAAACCACATGAAGTGGGCTTTCTAGGAAATACCTGGAAGGAGGGGAATGCAAATTACCATGCTCAGATATGCAAAGACACAACCTTTTGAAGCTTCACCCTGAGTAGGGGACCATTGTCTGGCTGACTACCTATTCCTGGTCTCTGCAGATCAAAGACCCAAACTGTATAAAGACACGACTCACAGATTAATGGGTGTGCTTGTTCTAAGCTAACAGCTGTTGTGAACTTGTAACCACAGGAAAAAACTCCTTGGTGGAATTTGAGGGACTGCTCAACTGCCAGAGCCCTTGTTGGATCTGGGGGTGATCCCTGGTAAGTTTATTAGCATGCATGTAGATTCTTCTGTTTTAATGTTTTTTTCTGTAATGCTTTCACCTTAAGAATAAATGTGCTTGCTTAGAAAGGGCTGGGTGATAACTTGTACCCATGGGTAATTATTACACTGCTTGTAGCTTCTGAGGAGAAAAGCAAAGGAGGCCTTCTTGGTGCAATTGAGAAAAAGGTGCAATATGGGGCTGTTGAGAAAAAGGCTAATATCATTATGGGGTGTGTTAACAGCAGTGTTGCATGTATGACACGGAAGGGAGTTGTCCCACTCTACTTGGCATTGGTGAGGCTCAGCGGGAGTATTGTGTTCGATTCTGGGTGCCACATTTGAGGAAAGATGTGGACAAATTGGAGACAGTTCAGAGGAGACCAACAAAAATGATAAAAGGTTTAGATAATTTAACCTATGAGGCAAGGTTAAACTGGGCATGTTTAGTCTTGAAAAAAGAAGACTGAGTGTGAATCTGATAAAACTCTTCATATATGTTAAGGGCTGTGTGACGGGGCGTATCAGGTCCTTTGAGGCCCTCTGCTGGAGGCCTCATGGTCCTACCACACCATGCCCAGGAAAGAGCAATAGAAGTGGGTCCTCCAGGCTGCCTAGAGAAGCTGCAGGGAAGCAGCCAATCGGAGCTCAGCAGTAAAAGGAGTTGCTGGAGAGAGCAGATCAGTTGCTAGCTGGAGCCAGGGGAGCAAGGATGGTGCTCCTGGCTAGGTGCAGGAGTTGCAGTACCTGGACAGAAGAGCAAAGAAGGTGGTCCTGGCTGATGACTGGGACTCAAGCAAGCCTTCAGCCCTGAGGTAAGGGTGAAGCTGAAAATGCTGGGTCTAAGAAGGGAAGTGGCCCAGGGAAATGCAGCAGCAAGTTAAAAGGAAGCAGCTAGGTTGGGACCTGGAGTAGTGGGCAGGCCTGGGTCCCCATCCTCACCCCCCCCCCCAGCCACAGGTGGAGTGGCCTAAGCCCAGAGAAGGCGGCAGAAGACCTCAAAGAGAGCCAGTATTTATCTGAACTGTTTTGTTTGTATACCTACAGACTGTGCTTGACTCAGCTCTCACTGAAAACTTGCTCAAAAACTTTATCAACAGGGATCACCGCAAGTGAAGCAAAGCTGAGAGAGTGCAGGTGCAGATGCACTCGGCCAGCAGGGGCATTCACATGAGATGAGTGGCCCTGTCACAGGCTGTTATAAAGAAGATAGTAATCAATTAGTCTCTGTGTCCACTGGAGGTAGGGCAAGAAGTAATGGGCTTAATCTGCAGCAAGGAAGATTTATGTTAGATATTAGGAAAGTTTTCTCACTATAAGGATAGTTACACTCTGGAATAGACTTCCAAGGGAGGTTGTGGAATCCTCTTCATTGGAAGGTTTAAAAGCAGGTGAGACAAACCTGGCACGGATGGTCTAGGTTTACTTGGACCTGCCTCAGACCATAGGGCTGGACTCTGACTTCATGAGGTCCCTTCCAGTCCTACACTTCTATGATTTTATGATATCTTCCAGTTATTCCCATATTCAGAATTCTATTATGAAGTCTGATATACTTTACTTTCAAAAGAGTGTGGCAAGTCAGCTCTTGCATAGAGACATGGACCATGAAAGCAACCAGTTGGGTGATTTTTATTCCATTTTGAAGAAAATGGTATGATATAGTACAGGCAATACATGCAATAGAACCTGAGCCATACAGAGCAACGGTTCTCTTCCTTTCTTCAATTCAAATTCCAACATAGGTTGCCCCCAGATTAAGTACCACTGATGTAGAGCACCAATCACAATTAGCAAGTACATACCAATAAATCTACCTTGTTCTCTGTTCACCACAGCAGTGGTAGTAAGTACAAGAGAGTGAACGGTGCTTTATGTCCGGGTCTCTGCAATCCATTAAATAAGCACTTGATTGGAATAAACTTCCATTCAAGTTGTGGTAATAGTTGTGATTTTAAGTAATTGCAGACTTACTTGTCAGGGTAGTTAACCAACTCAGTGGAGTTCTCTGACATTTTTGCTTGAAGAAAATCTTATCTAAAGCAAAGGTTAAAGTGTTTATTTGTGGTTTCCATGAACGTGACTCAAATGAGCTTACAATCTATACAGTCCATATTTACAGGACAGGGATTCATACATGAATATATATTTCATAGACACAGCAAACATTCTAGAAGATATAGCAGAATCAGAAGAGTATTGAGCAGTTTCTGATTTCCATTCAGGGAGAGCAAAAGGCTGGACTTTGACTGTATCTGATTAGCAGATAATTCCCCTAGCTAAGGGGAACACAGACACAAAGTCAGGAGAGCCAACTCCTGTACCAATGTCATCCCCTGTCCCAGAAGAAGGGGCATGTCAGAGCAAGTCGGGAAGGGGACATGGCAGAGATCAGCTCTATCATGATCCTCCACTGGCCTCTGGTCCCTCAGTGGCCAGTAGTGCAAGTTAGAGCAGCCTACTTGCACCAAAGTCAGGTGTAGTATAGATGGGCATGGCCCATAGGATGAGAGAATATGTGGAATAGCTGTTGTTGTGTAAGGATATAGAGTGTAGCTGTGACTTTCCATACAGGGACTGTGCGTGAACTGCAGGTCACAGTGAACAACAGGCTCTGGTTTCTGTTGGGTAAGAGTTACGTAATCTTTAACTACAAATACCTAGGCTGTTAATACAGGTTCTCATTGCGTTAACCAAAAGACCACAATAATCAGAGTCTTGACACCACACTCTCCTACACATATTGCCCTGAGCCGAGTGGAGTTCAGACAGAGAGGAGAGTTTGGCCCTACCTTTCACAATTGTGACCTGGTGAGACTGAATCCTCTAGACCCAAAGGCGACTAACAAGAGAATACGTGAATACTTCTCGAGAGTCAAATTGAATTTGTTTTCACTGCCAACAGCTAATGACTGTCCTCTCTGGATAAAGGGGTTAGGCTAAGAGTTGTCACCTGATACCTCTATATTGATATAGTACTGGCATGTATCCTGGGTATTCACATTAAGACTTACTCCCTCCTAAAATTATTGTTCCTTATAACTACCAACATATAAAGGGAGTGAAAATTTGTAAAGTGGTTTATTCTTAGTTCTTACATATGATCTATGAGCTGTCTCTACTTTTGCGCATTGTATAGCATTAAGCTCATTGTTGGCGCTAAACAGATCACCATAAAGAGCTATATATGAACAAAAATGGGATCATAAAACAGTCATAGAATTATATACTTATGTATATACATAGGACAGAAGGAAAACACTCTTTTATTAAGCATTTATTACAAGAGTGAACAAATAAGATACATATAAATCCATGCAAAGGCTACATTAAAATAAAGAACTAAAGTTTATAAATTTAATCCCTCAAAAGTCAGGAAATAAATAAATAAAGGACTTCCTGTTCTACCTCAAACTCAGGAAGAGAAGTATGTCTGTTCATCAACCAGTGGGTGTCCTGCTTTGCATTAAATGCTGGGGCAGTTGCCCCCATTCTAAAAGATGCTTAGAATTAGCATCTGTTTCCCTGGAGATGCTGTGATGTCATTTTTCCAGTTCTGTGGCACATAGTTGAAACTCTGAAGTTCAGTGAGTAAAGCATAAGACCGGTTACAGAATTTTTAACCAATTGGATTGCATTACATACCCGTGAACCAGATCCCATTGATGGGCTGAATTCCTTCAGATAGTACATTGCACCTCCTTAAAATGAGCTGTTCATAAATACTCTGTGATCTAGCTGTATTTTTGTGAGGAGGTGAATTTAGTTTTATTTTAGTGCTTATTCCATTGCTCTTTAACTGTGTTTCTCAAATAGAAATAGAACAGCTCTTAGACACAGAATTTTAGGAAAAATAACAACTAAATCCAGGCTGAACCAATAGTTTCAAACAATATATATATATATATATATTTGTCTCTTCCCATAGAAAAGAAAGAAAACTGCTCACATGGAATTCCATTTAGTGCATGTGTATAGAATGAACTAGCCCCTTAGGGGCAGGGGTAATTAGCTGTGGCAAGCATCTGTGCTAAAATGTAACCTGTGTTGGGGAGAACTAGTGCAAGGCCTTCCACAGCACTTAAATCCCAGGTTGGGACTATCTGTGGAGAAACTGATGGAGCATCCACTCCAGTGTGCCTCCAAGTTCCGTGTATGCTGCAGGAGTGGTTTCTGTGATAGCTTCACCAAGGGCTGTGTAGAGCGTTGCAACAGGAGAAGGCCAAAGGCAATCTAGGGCAGAGGCCATGGGATCTCTCTGTGGCTCCACCATCATACTATGCAGACCACACAGAGAGACTGCAGCCCGTGCTCTAACCCTAGTTCCAGAACAGCAAGGGGAATGGGTTTTACCTCCCCAGCCCGACTGCCCTGCACTTCACCTCCTTGGAGCCTGATGCTTTGGCTTCTCTGGCCTTAAAATCCATGGGACCACTATGGTTATCTAGTTTGACTTTTTCTGCATAACAAGCCACTCACTAATTGTGGCAGTGGAGGGAATTATTCTTTTCTGCTATGGTAGCAAACACAGCAATTTGTTATCTATATTTTAGAAAGACATTCAGTTTCAAATGCAGATGAATTGAACTTCACCTTTATGTAAGTTTATCCTCTCCATATATAGTACACACACTCTGTAAGGCAGCAAAGAGACAAAGGAAAGAGCTCTCATGAGCAGATTTCAGACACATTGTTGGAGTTGTGCTGAAAAACTTGCACTTCTTGGTTTCCAGACTTTAGGTCCTCAGTTTCTATGGCTGTCAATCCAGCATCTTTCACAAGCACTAGTACAGTAGCACCTCAGTTATGAACACCAGAGTTATGAACTGACTGGTCAACCACACACCTCATTTGGAACTGGAAGTATGCAATCAGGCAGCAGCAGAGACACACACAAAAAGCAAATACAGTACAGTACTGTGTTAAACATAAACTACAAAAAAAGGGAAAGATTTTTTTTTTTTTTAAAGATTTGACCAGGTAAGGAAACCATTTCTGTGCTTGTTTCATTTAAATTAAGACGGTTAAAAGCAGCATGTTTCTTTTGCATAGTAGTTTCAAAGTTGTATTAAGTCAATGTTCAGTTGTAAACTTTTGAAAGGACAACCATAATGTTTTGTTCAGAGTTATGAACATTTCAGAGTTATGAACAACCTCCATTTCTGAAGTGTTCACAACTCTGAGGTTCTACTGTAGTCATTTTTAAAGAATACAAATGAAAAGGGTGTATTAAATAATGTAAAAGCAGAAAACCATTGGCTGACATGAACCAACACAGGTCATAGGGAAAAGAAAAAAGAGTAACCCAACTGGTGAAGATGCCTAGTAATAATTAAAAGACGTGCGTGCACACACACACACAGGACAAATTCTGCTCTCAGTAAATCCAGATGCAATTTTATCACAGTCAATGAGGTTGCACACACTGCAGCCCTGTCATCATAGTGACAGAACAGATGGATTCCCAAGAGTTATTTTGAATGCAAACCCCTTTTTCTAATGTTACTAGATATTAAATCATATTGTAGCAGATAGCTATACACCACATCTGCTTGTTTTCAGTTAATTGTTTGCACTGTCACCTTATTTACTGTGCATGTGACTTAACAGAAATGCTATGACTGTATGATGAGAAACAATTTTTCACTAACGATTTCTGTAAGAAATAACTGAAATAGTACTGCATACATATAACCATAACACAGACAAGATAAATTCTCTTATAATGAAGGGAAAATAATGTGAAAAAATATTAGCAGGATATTAGAATTGCATACTTTGACTTTGTTATAGACATTACACCAAGATAACCAAACAACTTTCTACCAGATGAACACTGAAAAACACTGTAATTGTCCTATTTGATGTTAGCTACTGTAAGCCTTTGGAAGGCCAGTGAGTCCAGCATTGAGAATACATTCTCTATGTAGATATTATACTTTACCTTGAAGCTGACATTTTCTTTGTTCTTCTTTTAACTCTTTAAGTCGTTCCCATTGTCTCAGTCCCACTGTGCATGGGAGCCCCAAATGCTGTTGTCAAGGAAACAGCTAAACTCTCCCAAACACAAATTCCCCATACCGTCATCAGTCCATCTGCAAGTTCGCTGGGCAGCTCAGAAAAATGACAAACTACCCAGGAATACCTGCTGGTAAACTCTCTACAATTCTGCACATTTCTTGGAGCAGACACAGTATTTTGAAATGAAAATAAAATCAGAAAAGGCTGTTGGACTTGCAGAAGACACAGGAGTCACAAGTTCCCTGAGTCTCTTGGATCACTGTTGCTGAGACACTTGTGTTTACTCTTGTTTCTAGGTAACCAACATGCCTGTTCAGATAAGGAAGTGTACAGGAAAATGAGCTGTTGTATTTGTCTTATGCTGAAAGTCATTGATGAGGATTCTGCAGAATAATGTTAAAGGATCTCACAAGCTTTTTGTGGGAGGATGCCCTGGATTTGAGGAGAGAGCACAGGAAGTATCTGTCCTCTTGCAGCGGTGTAGGCGTCAGGCCAAGTAGTAACACAAGTGTTCAATGAGGATTGCAGCGGGGGTAGAGGGTGTCACAGTGCTGTGGTGAAACTGGAGAGAAAAGTTGAACTGAGGTGCAGATCATAGAATCTCAGGGTTGGAAGGGACGTCAGGAGGTCATCTAGTCCAACCCCCTGCTCAAAGCAGGACCAACCCCAACTAAATCATCCCAACCAGGGCTTTGTCAAGCCAGGCCTTAAAAACCTCTAAGGATGGAGATTCCACCACCTCCCTAGGTAACCCATTTCAGTGCTTCACCACCCTCCTAGTGAAATAGTTTTTCCTAATATTCAACCTAGTTCTCCCCCACTGCAACTTGAGACCATTGCTTCTTGTTCTGTCATCTGCCACCACTGAGAACAGACTAGCTCCATCCTCTTTGGTAGTTGAAGGCTGCTATCAAATCCCCCTTCACTCTTCTCTTCTGCAGACTAAATAAGCCCCGTTCCCTCAGCCTCTCCTCGTAAGTCATGTGCCCCAGCC